TTCATGCATAACTAAGTTTCTTGATTGTTTTGGTATGCAATTGAAGTCAATGATTTATCTTGATTGTTTTGGTATGCAATTGAAGTCAATGATTTATCGTGTCACAGTTTATAATGGTTTAGCCAACACTTTGCATTGTTTACAGATCTAGTCTAATCTGAGAAGTGCTAATTCGGTTCGGATAGACTTAAAAAAAAAACTCCCCTAGATTGGTAATTGTAGCCACTTTTAGGGGTGGCCAAACTGGGGAAGACAGCGAATTTGAACCAAAACAATTTGCGTCATGCCGTCTATATATGAACTTTTTCTTATGGCTAATTTAAACCATAACTTCAAATAAATTCAAATCTTATACCTCAACTAACAGGTTAAAATTCCGTTAGTCAACATTAATTGACTAAAACGACACATGAATTAATTGACTCAGTTTCGTTAGCTCAAAACGACGCCGTTTCGTTATTCTAGTAAAACGTTGTCGTTTTCATTTAGAAAGAACTTGAAATCAAATCCCTAATTCAGTAAAATGGTGTTGTTTTTATTTGAGGATTTATCGAATTAAGGATTCGATTTCAAGTTTTCTCCTCTTTTTTCTTTTAGTTTATGGACAAATTTTTTTTGCATATTATTTTTGGTCGCTTTGGAAATCTTTTCCTTCATTACCTAACTATCTTTTTCACAATATAAGAGGCAAAGTTTCATCTCTGAACCAAAGAATTTTTCTCTATATATCCTGCTCATGCTGCAACATGTTGGAACCAATTGAGATCTTCATAATCAAGGCTTCGTATTCCGCTCCCCCCTCCTCCCACAAATGCCTCTAAAACTATTTTTTCTAAATTTTTATGTCTTTGTTTTAGTACACAACTACATAAACCGATCAAAAAACTACACAAACTAATTTTTTCGAAATTCACCAAATGAAATTGGTTAAGCTAAAACCATTGATTAATCCGTATCCATGATTAACTAAACCATAATCACATAATTTTATTTTTATTTTCTTTCTAATTAATAAATTATG